CGGCACAGCGCTCGCACTAGTATCCCTGTGTGTATGCCTGCACACATGTACGCACGCACACACCCAGACGTGTGCCTTTGGGTGCTGCTCGGCACAGCGCTCGCACTAGTATCCCTGTGTGTATGCCTGCACACATGTACGCACGCACCCAGACGTGTGCCTTTGGGTGCTGCTCGGCACAGCGCTCTCACTAGTATCCCTGTGTGTATGCCTGCACACATGTACGCACGCACACACCCAGACGTGTGCCTTTGGTGCTGCTCGGCACAGCGCTCGCACTAGTATCCCTGTGTGTATGCCTGCACACATGTACGCACGCACCCAGACGTGTGCCTTTTGGTGCTGCTCGGCACAGCGCTCGCACTAGTATCCCTGTGTGTATGCCTGCACACATGTACGCACGCACCCAGACGTGTGCCTTTTGGTGCTGCTCGGCACAGCGCTCGCGCTAGTATCCCTGTGTGTATGCCTGCACACATGTACAGACGTGGTTGGCTTGTACGTGACCGGAGTTCGGGGCTCTGGAAAGAGGTGAGTGCAGCGCCCCAGGGTCTGCGAGGTTCCCGCACTGGAGCATGTTAATTTGGTGCTGCTCGGCACAGCGCTCGCACTAGTATCCCTGTGTGTATGCCTGCACACATGTACAGACGTGGTTGGCTTGTACGTGACCGGAGTTCGGGGCTCTGGAAAGAGGTGAGTGCAGCGCCCCAGGGTCTGCGAGGTTCCCGCACTGGAGCATGTTAAGTAGCAGGCCCTGAGCCAGCCTGCCTCAGAGAGCTAGATGAGTTTCCAGCATGAAAGGCAGTGGAGGCACCAGGCCCAGGAGTGAGAGCCCTGCAGAATCACAAGGTCAGTGGTTTTTTCTGAGGTGTCTGGGAGAGGGCGCAGTGAGCTCCGTAACCGGGCATGTCCTGGGCCGCGTGAGTGCGTATCCCTCGTGCTGCTCCAAGATCCCTCTCCTGCAAGGCTGTGTCTGAACGGGTGCATGCCGGTACCACGGGCAAGAGCATTAACCCCTGTCACTCTGCTCCTTTTCAGGCAAAGGGCAGGATTGTGGTGGTGCCAGGTAATGACTCAGCTGCTACCGTGTACCTACTGGGGGCTGAATGCGTCCCTGGCTCAGGGCTCCCAGGCGCTTGAGATCTGTGTTTTGGATTTGCGCCATGCTGCTGCCTCACTGGGGAGTGGCTCTCCCTCCCGCCAGGGGCTGCCTGCTGGAAGCAGGGAAGCTCTGTACAGCTGTCACTTTCCGGGGGGTCTGGGGTGACTGGATCCACCAGGGTTACCATGCAGCTCCCCAAGGCAGTTTCCCTTTCCTGTCCGGGCTGGGTCTGGTTTTTGGGGCCAGTCGCTGGGTGAGCTCAGGAGTGTCCTGCATGGATAGTGAAGACCAAAGCAGACTGTGAAGAGCTTCAGAAAGATCTCACCAAATGAAGTGGCTGGGCAACAAAGTGGCAAATCAAATTGAATGATGGTAAATGTAAAGTAATACGCATTGGAAAAAAGAATCCCAACTAGATGGGGGCTAATTTAGCTACAGCTACTCCAGAGAGAGATCATAGAATCATAGAATAATAGGACTGGAAGGGACCTCAAGAGGTCATCGAGTCCAGCCCCCCGCCCTCAAGGCAGGACCAAGCTCCACCTACACCATCCCTGACAGATGTCTATCCAACCTGTTCTTAAATATCTCCAGAGAGGGAGATTCCACCACCTCCCTTGGCAATTTATTCCAATATTTGACCACCCTGACAGTTAGGAATTTTTTCCTAATGTCCAATCTAAACCTCCCCTGCTGCACTTTAAGCCCATTACTCCATGTCCTGTCCTCAGAAACCAAGAGGAACAAATTTTCACCTTCCTCCTTGTGACACCCTTTTAGATATTTGAAAACCACTATCATGTCCCCCCTTAATCTTCTTTTTTCCAAACTAAACAAGCCCAGTTCATGAAGCCTGGCTTCATAGGCTTCTCTAGACCTTTAATCATTCTTGTCGCTCTTCTCTGTACCCTTTCCAATTTCTCCACATCTTTCTTGAAATGTGGCGCCCAGAACTGGACACAGTACTCCAGCTGAGGCCTAACTAGCGCAGAGTAGAGCGGCAGAATGACTTCACGAGTTTTGCTTACAACACACCTGTTGATACAACCTAGAATCATATTTGCTTTTTTGGCAACAGCATCACACTGTTGACTCATATTCAACTTGTGGCCTCTTGACATTGGAAAGGGTTCAGAGAAGGGTAACAAAAATGATGAAGGGTTTGAAACAGGTCCCATATGAGGAGAGATTAAAAAGACTGGGACTTTTCACCTTAGAAAAGAGGAGACTGAGGGGGAATATGATAGAGGGCTATAAAATCATGAGTCTGGGAAAAGTGAATAAGGAAAAGTTATTTACTTGTTCCCATCACATAAGAACTAGGGGCCACCAAATGAAATTAATAGGTAGCAGGTTTAAAACAAACAAAAGAAGTTTTTCTTCACATAGCGAACTGTCAACCTGTGGAACTCCTTGCGTGCGTTGTGAGCAAGACACGAGAAGTCATTCTTCAAAGAGCCAGATAGATTCCTGGAGGTTAGGTCCCTCAATGGCTATTAGCCAGGATGGGTAGGGACGGTGTCTCTAGCCTCTGTCAGAGGCTGGGAATGGGTGACAGAGGAGGGATTGCTTGAAGATTCCCTGTTCTGTTCACTCCCTGTGGGCATCGGGCATTGGCCACTGTGGGCAGACAGGATGCTGGGCTGGATGGACCTTCGGTCTGAGCCCGTCTGGATGTGAGGTCTGAACTTATTCTTCCCACCAGGGGGCGGGATAACAGAGAGGAACCTGCAGCGGATTCTTGAGGGCTCGGGTGCCCCTGAGTTTCACTGCTCTGCGCGCTCAGCCCGGGACTCGGGGATGAAGTTCAGGTAAGGAAGAGGTTGTCTCTGTACTAAGTCGGTCGGGAGGTGGGGTCTGGCTTGGTCCTCCCACAGCTTTGCTGCTGTGAAAGCGAGTCCGCTGGCCAGGCAGAGCAGTCCCCGATCCTGAGAATTGTGCGTCGGGGGGCTGGACAAGTGACTCCGTTTGGGCTCAGTGTTTGGGGGCGCAAGTCCTGTGCGTGATGAGGTGCCCTGGGAGATGTTAACCCCTTGTGCTCAGCCACTGGGCACATGGTTCCAGCATTAGCACCCCAGGGTGAGAATGGAGCCCTGACACTGGTGCCATGGTGTGCTGCCAGGGGGTCTAGTACAGACCTCATACCCCCTGCCCCCTGCCTGTTTCTAGGAGGTCTGCACCACTTCCTCCTTGGGCTGGTGCCTCCTGCCCAGAGCTAAGACCCTTTCCTTGCCCTGCGGCTCCTCTCTCCTGCTGTCACTCTGTAGCCTCTGTGAGCTCCAAGGGGTGCCAGGAGACCCTCTGCCAGCAGCTGGGAGAAGAGGAGACAGAGCTGGAGCCCGGCAGTGCCCCCGGATGTCTCCTGGCAGGGCCCGTGTCCAGCTCTGTCACGTTCCAGACAGTAACCGGTGGCCTCTTGGTTTCCCTGACAGAAACAGCAGCGTTGCCATGGGAGCCTCGCTCTCTACCTCCGAGTACGCCGTAAAGGTGGCAGACGTGGCTACAGTGAGGACCCTGAACGCTATTGCAAAGAACATCCTGTAGCGGGCAGGGCTGCGTGGGGCTGGAGCCAGCAGGCCCTGGGACTCTCCCGGCCAGGCTGGACAGACGGGCTGTGGCTCACGCTGGGCTGTCAAGGAAGCAGATCCTGTGATGGAACCTGCAGCCCCTCCCTTGGCTTCACCTGGACACTGTCCCTGAGGCAGGCGTCTCCAACAGGCTCGTTCCTGGCTGGGGTGGTGGCACAAACCATTCAGCAGTTGGGAAGGGGGCCCTTAGCTTAGGGGGTAGCTCAATTGTGTGCACCAGCAGTGATGGTCAAATAAACCCTGCAGCTGCTCCCATGTGGCTGCAGCTCTTCCTGGCAGAGGGGGCTTGCTGGTATCTGTCTGCCGAGTCCTATGGCACGTGCCTCAGGCCAGGGACTCTGCCACGTGCCCTCGGAACGAGGCTGATTTCATCCTGAGTTCAGGTGGGTTGCATTCAGGACTCACTGGCATGCTGATTTGGCAATTGAGGCTCAGGCTGGCAGAGGTGTTTGGGGGACACTGAGCTGGGAACTAGGCCTGAAACAGCCCCAGGTTGTGCTGACAACTGTGGTCCGGCTTGTAATAAGAAGGCTCAGGTTTCATCCTTTTCCTTAAGGAAAATCCAGGGCAATTCATTTAAGAAAGCAGGAGTTAATACAAAGAACACCTGGTTGTAGCCTTTTGTTTGCAGCAGTTTGGTAACTTGGCGTGACCCCTGGGTTTCTCTAGCAGCTCGGCTCAGCGGTGGCGCCAGCGGGTGAGAGGAGGAGACCGAGCTGTGCTCCATGGGATCGGCTCTGCTGGCCACAGGGTCATCTCTGCGGCTTGCTTCGTTGGAGTTGGTAGGGCCATGGAAAGCCCAGGGGCAGGGCCCTCATAGGCCTTTGCCAGTACAGGGGCTGACCCTTTGTTACGGTTACCAGCCCAGTTGGGATCACCCAAGCAGAGAGAGTCTCTGCAGGCCTGTGCACAAGCTACACATGCACTTCCACTCCCACCCACCTAGATAGCGGCAGGGTCTGGGGAGTGTCTCGTGGATTGAGCAGCTGAGGGATGGTTCTTGCTGGGGTTTCACACCAGGAGCTCAGTTGCCTCGCTCTGCCCCCCACCATTTATCATGCAGTTCTAACTACCTCATTAGCATTCGCAGACACTGTGTGCCCTGCAGCGGGGGCGTGTTAGGACACAGGGACCTTGTTCTTGCAGTTCCACTCTTTGGTCCACGTTTTTCCTGTAGTCCTGAGGCATGGGGTCGTTCCGTGGTCACTTCTGTCACACATTTCTTAGCAGACGTCTCTCAGGCCTCAGCCTGTTGGCCTTGCGTTTCAGCCCTGCTTGCTTAGGTACCAGATATGTAATTCTCTCTTCACGCGTCTACAGTCCTACCGGTTCGTGTTCTTGAGCACACAGAGACCACATGTGGCATGCTGGTCATCACAGCCACACAATAGTGACTCATAAACTCAACTCACTGGCTGCGCAATGGAGAGCCAGCACTCAGAAGTGAAGAAATCTCCATCAGCAGGCCGGGCTGCGGCCCCAGCAGACCAGCTGCCACGTTGTTTTCATGGGCTTTGTAGGTCCCCAGCAAAGGAGGGGCCTGAGGGGGCCAAGGAGGAGGTGCCCAGGAGAAGCTCAAACGGGGGGAATGCAGAGGCGCTTGTGACAGGTGGGCATGGGGGCTGGAGCCACTGGCCCAGTGACGTGGGAGGCAGCCTCTCAGCAGTCCATGAGCGATGGTGAAGGGCTGTGAAAAGGGACAAGCCGAGTGTGTTTGCCCAACTGGAGAACGGGGAGCCAGTGGAGGGGTGACGGGGCCAAGGCCGTGCCAAGGAAAACAGCCTTTCCAATCATGCTGAATGGCTGAGTGGGGACGGGTGGGTCTAGAAGGCTGGAGAGAAGGTTGGGGCATTGAGAGGGGAGAGGAGAGAGCTTGGACAGCGCTTTCGCTGCGTGGAGGGATGGCAGGGGCCAGAGCTTACAGAAGTTCTGCCGCACGAGTTGGTTAGATTTACCCAAACTGGCTGGGAGGGCTAGAGAGCCAAGTCAGAGATGATGCGGGGTCCAGGTTAGGGGCAGGAGTTCTGGGAAGGCTGGTGGAGTTGTCTGTGGTGATCGGGAGAGGCAGGCAGGGGCGGCTGTGCTGCAGGTCTCTGAGGTCACAGGCTGTGCTCCAGGTGGGGGTTCTGCACTGGTTGTGTTAGCTCTCCCAGATTGCTGGGTATCCCTCAGGAACGCTTTGGCTCCTGCACAGGGTGTTTCTCACCCTGCCTTCCTAACCTGTGGCAGGGAGACTGAGACCGGCCCGGCTCCAGGGAGCAGGCATTGAAAAACCCTGTGGAAAGGGCCCAGCGTGGGTGGGGAAAGGCAGGTGATTTAATCAGCGACGCCTCTAATAATTAACTGGGGAGAGTTCTGCCTTGTCATCCTGGGACATTAGACCCCTGGGGGGTGGCGCGTGCCCCTGCAATTACTCAGTGAACCTTTGTTGACTTTGAGCTCAGCCCTGGTTGTGTAAGGGATGAGACGACACCTTATCCCGTTGGCACCAGCACCCCCCACGTGCTCCTCTGGCGAGGCCCTGCGCTGCCTCCAGCCCCTCGGCAGGCCCTGCCAGGCGGGTCCAGCTCCTCGTCTGGCAAGCACGCAGCGTCAGTTCTCTGATGCCCGGCCAGCTGGCCTCCCGCTCTGAGCGCCCTTCCCTGGTTCTGCTTTGGGATCCAGGCAGCCTCGCCAGGAGTGACCCCCAGGTGTGGAGGGAGCACTGCAGGGCTCCCCAAGGTCCCTCTCCTCCCACATGCTCCCCACGGCCAGAGCCAAGCCCCCCGGGCAGGGCGGACAGCCAGCAGCATGTGCAGCAAACCTGACCAGCAGGGCAGGGTGAGGGATGCCCAGCTCCAAGGGCTGCATATTGGGTCCTGGGGAGGAGGGAGGCAAATGGGAGAGAGCTGAGGAATCCCAGGGGCTGCCTGGAAGGAAACTGGACAGTCAGGCTGGGGTCCCTCTGTGGTCAGAGCCCAACTGCTTGCAAGGTCTCTCTCCATAGCCAGCCTGGCCCAGCGGGGATGGGAAGGGAAGTGGAGGGTCTGAGCCAGACACATGGGGCTCCCAGCCCGGGAGGGGGACACACCCAAAGGAGTGAGCAGGACACGTAGGGCTGGGGGCACACAAGGGCCTGAGCAGGACACATGGCGCTCCCAGCCCGGGGGGGACACACTCAAAGGAGTGAGCAGGACACGTAGGGCTGGGGGCACACAAGGGCCTGAGCAGGACACATGGCGCTCCCAGCCCGGGGGGGACACACTCAAAGGAGTGAGCAGGACACGTAGGGCTGGGGGCACACAAGGGCCTGAGCAGGACACATGGCGCTCCCAGCCCGGGGGGGACACACTCAAAGGAGTGAGCAGGACACGTAGGGCTGGGGGCACACAAGGGCCTGAGCAGGACACATGGCGCTCCCAGCCCGGGGGGGACACACTCAAAGGAGTGAGCAGGACACGTAGGGCTGGGGGCACACAAGGGCCTGAGCAGGACACATGGCGCTCCCAGCCCGGGGGGGACACACTCAAAGGAGTGAGCAGGACACGTAGGGCTGGGGGCACACAAGGGCCTGAGCAGGACACATGGCGCTCCCAGCCCGGGGGGGACACACTCAAAGGAGTGAGCAGGACACGTAGGGCTGGGGGCACACAAGGGCCTGAGCAGGACACATGGCGCTCCCAGCCCGGGGGGGACACACTCAAAGGAGTGAGCAGGACACGTAGGGCTGGGGGCACACAAGGGCCTGAGCAGGACACATGGCGCTCCCAGCCCGGGGGGGACACACTCAAAGGAGTGAGCAGGACACGTAGGGCTGGGGGCACACAAGGGCCTGAGCAGGACACATGGCGCTCCCAGCCCGGGGGGGACACACTCAAAGGAGTGAGCAGGACACGTAGGGCTGGGGGCACACAAGGGCCTGAGCAGGACACATGGCGCTCCCAGCCCGGGGGGGACACACTCAAAGGAGTGAGCAGGACACGTAGGGCTGGGGGCACACAAGGGCCTGAGCAGGACACATGGCGCTCCCAGCCCGGGGGGGACACACTCAAAGGAGTGAGCAGGACACGTAGGGCTGGGGGCACACAAGGGCCTGAGCAGGACACATGGCGCTCCCAGCCCGGGGGGGACACACTCAAAGGAGTGAGCAGGACACGTAGGGCTGGGGGCACACAAGGGCCTGAGCAGGACACATGGCGCTCCCAGCCCGGGGGGGACACACTCAAAGGAGTGAGCAGGACACGTAGGGCTGGGGGCACACAAGGGCCTGAGCAGGACACATGGCGCTCCCAGCCCGGGGGGGACACACTCAAAGGAGTGAGCAGGACACGTAGGGCTGGGGGCACACAAGGGCCTGAGCAGGACACATGGCGCTCCCAGCCCGGGGGGGACACACTCAAAGGAGTGAGCAGGACACGTAGGGCTGGGGGCACACAAGGGCCTGAGCAGGACACATGGCGCTCCCAGCCCGGGGGGGACACACTCAAAGGAGTGAGCAGGACACGTAGGGCTGGGGGCACACAAGGGCCTGAGCAGGACACATGGCGCTCCCAGCCCGGGGGGGACACACTCAAAGGAGTGAGCAGGACACGTAGGGCTGGGGGCACACAAGGGCCTGAGCAGGACACATGGCGCTCCCAGCCCGGGGGGGACACACTCAAAGGAGTGAGCAGGACACGTAGGGCTGGGGGCACACAAGGGCCTGAGCAGGACACATGGCGCTCCCAGCCCGGGGGGGACACACTCAAAGGAGTGAGCAGGACACGTAGGGCTGGGGGCACACAAGGGCCTGAGCAGGACACATGGCGCTCCCAGCCCGGGGGGGACACACTCAAAGGAGTGAGCAGGACACGTAGGGCTGGGGGCACACAAGGGCCTGAGCAGGACACATGGCGCTCCCAGCCCGGGGGGGACACACTCAAAGGAGTGAGCAGGACACGTAGGGCTGGGGGCACACAAGGGCCTGAGCAGGACACATGGCGCTCCCAGCCCGGGGGGGACACACTCAAAGGAGTGAGCAGGACACGTAGGGCTGGGGGCACACAAGGGCCTGAGCAGGACACATGGCGCTCCCAGCCCGGGGGGGACACACTCAAAGGAGTGAGCAGGACACGTAGGGCTGGGGGCACACAAGGGCCTGAGCAGGACACATGGCGCTCCCAGCCCGGGGGGGACACACTCAAAGGAGTGAGCAGGACACGTAGGGCTGGGGGCACACAAGGGCCTGAGCAGGACACATGGCGCTCCCAGCCCGGGGGGGACACACTCAAAGGAGTGAGCAGGACACGTAGGGCTGGGGGCACACAAGGGCCTGAGCAGGACACATGGCGCTCCCAGCCCGGGGGGGACACACTCAAAGGAGTGAGCAGGACACGTAGGGCTGGGGGCACACAAGGGCCTGAGCAGGACACATGGCGCTCCCAGCCCGGGGGGGACACACTCAAAGGAGTGAGCAGGACACGTAGGGCTGGGGGCACACAAGGGCCTGAGCAGGACACATGGCGCTCCCAGCCCGGGGGGGACACACTCAAAGGAGTGAGCAGGACACGTAGGGCTGGGGGCACACAAGGGCCTGAGCAGGACACATGGCGCTCCCAGCCCGGGGGGGACACACTCAAAGGAGTG